CTGCTGCTGCAGAATATAAAGGAAATGAAAAGAGCGGCTTCTGTTTGTTAATTTGTTTATTTATCAGCTTTGTTTGTCTGCTGCTCTTTTACTCTGTTGTTATATATCCCTCTCTCTGTCTCTACAAACAGACAGTGAGAGGGTTTCAATATCCTCTTTCCTATAGATTGATTGGTTATATTCTTAGGGTTTAGGGTTTAGGGTTTAGGGTTTCTTTCTCTGTTTCCTCTTCTTCTGTTTATTGCAATACATATACATACATATATATATACATGTATATATATATATATATATATATTTAAATAAACATATTGAATTATTCTTCATTAACTTGCTCCGGCCCTAACCCTGCAAAAGAGCTAACAGGAACGTGCTGCACTAAAGTGTAGAATTTTTCTGTAGCCTCTTCATCTTCATTTCTTCTTCTTGATAAACGCACACGAACACGACGAGGTAAATTGCGAATACCGTTGCTCCAAATATGTTTGTTTAATTTCGTATCAATCCTCACATCCTGTGCAGAAGAAACAAACAAATACTTCTTTTTCAATTAATGCTTATATTCAATGACTGTTCAAGACGGATATATATACAAATATATGAAGAAGAATCCGAGAAAAATAGAGATACAGAATAATTTAAAGAAATAACATTTTTATTGCACTGTCTTCTATCCCTCTATTTCTTTTTCGAAATATATATACCCTCTCTACTTATGTCATTTCTATACATTGTCTATACTCGCATATATATATATAAAGGTGCATATAATATATATATATATGTATATCCATATATATATATTCTTCATGCGCTGAACGAGTAAAACCTCCTCTGGATCTTAGATAAATGCTGTCTGTCACCTTATCATCTTCTGTACATCGTCGTCTAAATATATATATATATATATACATGTATATATATATATATACATGTATATATATATATATATTTACAATTATAACGTGCAGCTACTACTTGATGCATTCTACTAGACATTTATTGAGATGTATTTACACCATACAGAGCATAGATATATATATTTACATTATTTATATTATTTATATTTATATTTTCTTACCTTTGTATGCATAACCTTCTCTGCGAATTTCTTTATTTCACGAATTGCACGCGGAGCCCTCTTTTTGAATTGAATTCCGTGTACAACTTTATGAAGATGAATAGTATAATCTCTGCAGGCTGGCTGCAGAGATTTGGTTGCTTTCTTCTTCCCTCCTGAGAAACAACAATAAAATAAAATAAAAGAGCATTAAAAACGATGAAGAAATATATATAAATGTTTATATATCTCCTTAAAACAGAAGCAGAAACGGCTTAGATAAGATTCACAGAGAGAGTTGTGTTGTCTGGGCGGGTTGGAGGTGTTGCTGCAGCTTTGAAGTAGAAAAGGGTTTATTAAATAAATTAAAATATTTAATTTAAAAAAGAAATATATTTTAAAAAGAATCAAAACAAATGCATGCAATATGCCTTCATTCAAATAACAGCGCCCTATCGCCGTCCAACAGACATATCTTCAACTCTCCCTGGTTTTCTCTGCATTTCCTTCATAATATATTTTAAATAACATAACTTAAATACTATTAAAGAGTTTAAAATAAAAATAAACCCCAAAAAAACACCCAGAAGGAGGGTCTTATAAGCCTTCTTTGCTGCTGCTGCTGCTGTTGTTGTTGCTGCTGCTGCTGCTTCCCTCACCTTTCGCAACCATCTTCGCGCGCTGCTGCAATTTATTCTAAAATACAGCAGAGAAGTGCAGCGCAGCAAAATAAATAAAATGCTGTTTAAACACTCTTTCAGGCCAGGTCTGTAGGCGGCTGCCCGCTGCTGCTGCTGCTGCGGCTGCTGCTGCTGCTGCAGCAACAGCCCCAGCAGCAGCAGCGTGTGGGGTGGCAGCAGCCTGGGGCTGCTGCTGCTGCATGCGCGTGTTTGTTGTTGAGTGTTTGTAAATATAAATAATTTTAAAAAAGATTAAATCTTTTTTCATTATTTTTATATTTTTTGTTCATCTTCTTCTATCACCTCCACCCACCCGCCCGCTAGTGCAGCCATGCATGCATGCAGCAGCAGCAGCTGCTGCTGCAGTGCATGCATGCAACAGCAGCGGCTAATGCAGTAGCAGCAACTAATGCTGCTGTTGGTGTTGCTGCATGCGCTCTTCATCTCAGCTGCAGCTCGCCTCCTTTTGCTTCAATGAAAAATATATTTTTATAGGCCATCCCCTCCTTATTATTAGTATTAACCCTTGCGTATATATATATATATATATAGACAAGAAATTATATATATATATACATATACATACATAAATATATATAATTTCTTGAGGAGGACAACGAAAATATTAATATTCTGACAATGTTGATAGTAATAATAATAATACAAATAATAATAATAACAATAACATTGCTAATATTAGTAGTAGTGGTAGTACTGAGAATAATGATAATAATAAAAATTCAATAATAATAATAACAACAACAACAACAACAATAATAATAGTAAACATTTATATTTATAAATACTAAGAAACAATAAAAGTAATACCCATAACAATAAAGAGAAACATAATACTAAATACAGGGTAACAATAAAAAAATAAAATAAAACAATAAAATAACAATTTAATAATTTAATATAGTTTAATAATTTAATAATAAGAATACTGAAAAATAATTAAACAACAATAACAATAAATAGTAACTAAAAAATAATATTAAATACTACTTGATTAAAAACTAAATACTAAGGAAATAATATAATAATAATAATAATAATAATAATAATAATAATAATAATAATAATAATAATAATAA